CCATGATTTTGTGTCAACTTCTTTTCAAGATGCCGCGGAGAGGTTTTACAATGATGTCAAAGATCAACTGCTTGCGCGAATGGGCGAAACAAGAGCGCATGAGGTCCACGCGAACGACTTAATGGCGCTGGAAAAATCTACAATCATGGACGTAGTGGATTTCGATGGAGACTTTGACACGGGATTCGTTGACTACGTGCCATCAGGAGCTAATTACTTTAACAGAGGCTGCCCGAGCTACATTGACCCGGTCTCAAATGCGCTCGATCCACAAGAGCGCCATCGTTCTATTTACGCCTCAATTTCCGCTCTCGAAAGATACTGCAACATCCAAAATCTAAGATCCCCTATGATACGATTCTTCAACACCATACCAAAAACGGCTAAAACATGCTTGCAATGGAACAGCGGTTACAAAGATATGCGACAAAGTGCATCTTTCTATCAGATGCTTCTCGCTAATTACGATTCGTTACAGATACCGGGCGAAGTTGTACAGGTACTAAATCATTATTCGCTTTAAATGCAACTTAGGCATGATGTTTTAGGCAATTAAATGTGTGTTAGTCGTTCCTGCAAGTAATGCAGATCCAGAACGTAGCTTTTCGGCTGCGAATAGACTCACAAAAGATGAAAGAAGCAATTTGGCAACAAGCACCCTCGATTCATTGATGACGTATGTGATGATTTCTAAGTGCCTTTGAACTTGGGTCCGCTCTATTGACATTTGCAGAATACAAAGGGATGGTCCCAGCATTTTGACTGTCAAAATTCAACAGCTAGCCGCGCAATGGCTGCATCCTCGTCCAGGCCTAAATCTACATCCAGGACGACCTTCTACGTTTGGAAGAGAAGGCAGTCTCATGAAAGAGATAAAAACAGCTCTTGCAAGTGGTATGTTTTTCTTCCAATTTACCTGCGGCTACATATGTTTGAGATTTTAGGGGATGTCAACGGTTTGATTGCTAAACATACTGAACACTACATGACTATGCACGGGCTGAGAACTCGCCATGACGTCAAGGAAATCAGCACTCGACTTCAGAACGAAGAGGAGGCCAAACTAGCAATTTTTTCTATCGGCTCAGTTGCCGAAACAAGTCCATCGTAATAACTCAACGACAATTTTCTCGAACTTTCATGACAACATCTTTGGAGATAAACACTTTGTTGTCGCCAGTTTCTTGAAGCGGCCTTACTGCGCTCTATGACTGCAGACGAGAGGAGTTAAAAACCTAGCTAACCTAAGTATAAAAACAAATCAAGTCATACTCTCTCAAAAATGCAGCAAATAAAGCGAGTTTCTACATAAGCAAATGTTTTACATTGCATGTTGCTCAGTCGTTCTCATTTGATATATTGGTACTCAGCATTCTAAGAATTATTGTAACGAACATGTATTAATCATTTAAAATAATTATTAGATGTTATTACTACTATTTGATTAATAACTATTACATGTTATTATATTTCATTAATAACATGTAATAATTAAATAGTAAATTATTACTAATTGATTTGCTTTCAAGCGTACGGTTTTTTATCCAAACTACCCCTTTTACGACCCCCCCCCCCACCGTAGGCCCCCTTTACGACCCCCCGTTGCGACAGTCGCATCACACGCTTGACCCTGATCTGAACCGATCCGGACCAAACTTGGCACATATAAATTTCGGCGAGGGGCGGATGCTGTAGGCGAATGATTACGAATACAACATTAGTTTCTTGAATCATCGGTCACCTTTGCCGAATTTATCGATTTTTAGCAAAGTTTGATCTAGAAGCTGGGAGTTGGCACGGCGGGTAAGGGGGCATGTTGATTATGAAAACATAATGAAAAATAAGAACAGGAACAGGAAAATATGCAAAAATCGGAAATGGCAATTATCATAGTGTATTGACATGGCCAGGTAGCCAGCTAGTTCCATAATAAAGATTGGAAAGGATCTGTACTTACATGTTGACATGTTGCGAAATAGGTCGAGTGATTGCGTGGGTGGGAGTGTTAAAGGCAGCAGCGCGGCAGAATAGACCTACCTCAGAATTCGACATAGATGGATAGGAGGCCCTCCAAGTGAATCAAGAACAAAGAGCAACTCCGGGCCGAAAATGTGAATTCTGCAAGCCAGGGGGGGGGGCGAGCCAAGCCGAGACGCAGAGTAAGGAGGTAGAGAGCCGCTCCCCTTCCTCCTTTCGCTCCCTTAACATCTTGTGCGGACGAGTATGTTCGCCGCTAGAAAACGCGCTGTCACTCGTCACTTAATTGTTCTAGCGCTCTCTACCTCCTTACTCTGCGTCTCTGACGGCAAAGAAAAACGGCTCACTGGTCCGCGCCCGTCTCAAGGGGGTTTCAACAGACGGGGTTTTCCCCATTTTCGCGCTAAGGGAAGTTCATGTCGTGATTCAGGGGGCCGGAATAGCCCCAAATCTGCCAAAACCCCGAAGTTGAAATTCTGCCGAGCCGTAATTCTTAAACGTTCATGCGTATGCTATCCCAATCTCTTCATATTTTCTTTTTTTGCCAAGGTATCCTTGGCTGCTCGTGACGTTCAACGAAGTCGATAAATGCTCTAGCTCTCTAGGTCGGCTCGTAAAGCTCTTATTTCTTAAAATTCAGTCTGTTGGCTGTCCATAGCATACCTTTCAATCCATAAGCCGTGATTTTTCAGAAGCCGTTTTTAGGTGCTCGTAAGGCATTCCCTACTCAAAATGTGGGTCTGCAAGCTCTTTATGAGGCATTTCCTTCTCTTGATTGCTTCTTATGTGGGGGATCGGGCAGTTCTTTCACAAGAAATTGGTTTGCAAGAGGTCCATAGGGTATTTCGATTTTAAGATCCTAGGTCCGTAAGTGGTAGAGCGCTTCTTTCTCAAACGGGTATGTAATAGGGGGGGGGGGGGGGGTGGGGTGCTCATAGGATGCTCTTTCCCAAATCGTTTGTAAACTGTTCACAGGGTTGTTCTTTTTTTATACAAGGTCTGTAATTCGTAGAGGAGTTATTTCTCAAAATATAGGTTTGAGTGACCCGTAAAACACTTCATTCCTGCAACTGCTGGTTTGTAGCGGGGCTTAGGGCCGTTTCTCCGCAATTATCGGTTTTTATGGAGGCATGCTGTACAATTTTGTAAGCGGGCTCGCAGTTTTTTTTGAATATTGGTTTGTAGAAACTTTCAGGTTCTTAATGAAGATATCGATTTTGGCCCACTCTTTCTTCATAAATTATTTTCATGAATATCGGCCTGTAGACAACTCTTAGGGCAGTTTATTTTCAAGTTTAAAAGGATCGCATTCCTATGTATTAGGTTGAACCGAAGGTTTTGTCAAATCGTAACTTCTTCCTTTCACGATAGTCTTACATGGCAAAATATCAACGAAAAGTAACGTATTTCTTAATGATATCTTAATTGTTCTCTCAAGTTCTGATTGCAGAGATAAAAATGGGAAAAGGAAATTATTTCAGGTTCGATCATTGAGCCAAGTCGATTGAAAATTCAAAAACTGCGCAATAAAATCCGGAACAGCTATGCCAAAGGTTTTTAACCTAATCTTTCTATGAGCGAAATCTGCGCTGATCGAGCTTTTGCTTGAAAGTTTATGATTTTCGATAAAAAATGCCAAAAAAGCAAATTTCCTAAAAAAAATTTCTACGGCATTTTTTTCTCGAATACCATAACTTTTCAGAGAAAACCCCGATCAGCGCAAACCTTGCTCCGTTAGAAAGGGGGTCAAAAGCTTATAACTGGCTGTTTTATTTTATTCTATTTTATTTTATTGCACAGTTTTCGGATATTCAACGGACTTCCTTCAAATCAACCTGAACTGATTTCCTTCCCATTTTCATCATTGCAATTAGAACTTAGAAGCGAGCGATCAATATCTAAAAGTGCATAAGTTACTATTTGTTGGTATTTTCGCCATTCAAGGCTATCGTAAAAGGAAGAAGTTACGATTTTTCGAAAATGTTGCGACAGAACTTTCGGTTCAACCTAATACATTGCTCTGTAGGCGGTTCGTAGAGCATTTTCCTTGAGATGGTCTGTAGGCGGATGGACATAAGAGCGCAATCTAATTTTTGTTCTCCAATCTTTTGAACTTTTGTACGACAGCCCTCGTTTTGAGATTCGACTGCTTTTGAAGTGACTTTCATTGATTACTGAAATAATTTGGCTCGAATATGATTCTCGGAAGCGATTCAAAAAATCGTTGATTAATCAGTTCCATGTGCCTAGAACTTGTCAAATATGGTAATACGATAGCACAAGAGGATCCTTTCTTTTAGGAAAAGATTTTTTTGCTTCCACTGCGACCCTTCGTATAAAAAATTTGACAACCAATTTCAAGCGTTCCGTGAAAAAGCTCTGAGAAACTGATATTTCTCTGTTGAAACTGAGACGGATTCTCAAAAACAAAATGAATTCTTTGTAGGTTACATATTTGTTAGGGTGTCCTGCTTTCAAGAACGATATTCACAATATCCGCGGGTTAAATGGCCAAAGTACATCCTACATATTTCGCTGGTTCGGAGAGGGGGGGGGGGGGAAGTCTACTGTTTTTCAAATGACTTCGTGGAGAGGGGACTTGGATTAGAGCACGTAGTATTCGAGCGTAAATTTTCTCCCGAAATGTGGGTGAGGTTGACAGGATCTCAAGGAATCTCAAACGGATTAGTAAAGTTTTTGTTCGCGAGATTCTCTTATCGGAAAATTGTTCTCACAAAAAGCTTGCAAAAAAGGAGAGGAAAGCGTAAAGATATCTGTAGTCACAACTAAAGGCGCCTATAAGCGCTAATAATACTTGGCAGACCCACTTGCTAGCGACTCATACGGTCGCGTAAATATCAACTATCCAGCGTAACAAGTGATGGCGGGTAGGATGGGGAAAACAGATATTGATATTTTTGCGGTTAATTTTACACAAAGTTAATATTGCCAACTGCATTTTACAAGACTAAGGGGTAAAAATACTTGAAGTCTGGGTCCATGTTATTTATTGAAGTTCTCACCAAAAAGCAGACATGTGCGGCAACCACTGATCCACGCGTTCCACCAAGAAACCGAACAATTCCATAGGCCATGAGTACTCCGATGAATCCATGAACCGCATCGACACCTAAATATACATTATGATCAGAACTGCACAAGGCCGGGTTTTCCTGTAATTACTACAATCAGATATTCTCAATACATAGTAGAAACCAAATATTTTCTTTGTGAAAGAAACGTGGTCAATCCAATTTAAATGACAGTGAGGTTGTAGAAGATTTCCTTACCATGCTTTACTTGTGGACAGACAACAAAAGGCTCTCTATCAATGAAATCATTTATTTCTGATGGGGGTAAATGCCCAGTACTTTTCGGAAGATGTATGATTTTCATATAAACTCAAATGCATGCGTTTTTTTGGATACATCCACCTCCTTATAGCTCAAACGTGAGTGATGAGAAACCCATTTTTGATGTGCCACTTTGTAAGTGAAGAAAAAATATAGCTTTAGGTGACTTTAATCTACATTGATTGGGTTACCCTACATCTTTCAATGACAATTTTTCGAATTTCCTTCAACTCAACTCAACTCTCGTCAACTCCGGCTCAAAGCAACATCTTGAATAATTGGGGGGGGGGGGGGAGCAGGCGGCCAAGCGATTTTTGGGCAAGCGGGACCGGAGTAGTTCGCTGATTTCTTGCGGTCCTCTGGCAGAAATTTGGAAGAAAGTTGGCCAAATTTTAGATGAATGCTCGGAGAACAATCGTGGTTTTCTCATAGTTTAGCTGCGGCCCAGTGGCCGCAATCTCGCGGACTTTCCGCAAGAATACGCAAATTATTAAGAGCCGCACGGTTTTCTGGAGGACCGCAGAGCCCGCAGCTACGGTTCCAAGGAGAAAAAGTACCCCAAAATCGGGCAATTAAACCATCAATGACACCTTTGCCCATAGAGTCTCATTTTTGCTCGGCGTACGCACGAAACCGCTTGAAAAGAGTCCGAGCGCCCGCTGAAGGTTCGGCCAGCGCTCGCTGAAAGAGATTATCTGACGAGCGCTTGCAGAAAAGCAGGGGTTTGCGGACCGCCTGTCCCCGGCGATTATCTGAGATGTAAGAGAAGTTACCCACTGATCCCAGGTCTTTGATCATGGGTTTTCCACCGTTCAGAGCATTTTAGCATTCACAATATGGCTCCACTTGCAACCTCCTACCACTGCATTGTCCACAATTTAGTGGCTGCAGATGTTGCCTTTACAATCTTATTGCCTACAAGTGATTATCGGAAGGTTGACTTATTGTGCTGAATGCCTATGGGTCGTTATCGACTAACACAATGATGTTTTGGCCTACCATCGTATACGTAAGTAAGCATTATGCAAAAAGCATAACATTATTCCGATAATTAACATGTCAAATAACCCTTGTGGGCCAAATTTTAACGATTTCTGAGGTTTCAAAATATTGAGCCACCAAAACGAGATAGTCATTTTCGAAAATATTAACTTCAGAGGTGAGTCGACTACTTAATTTTGTACTTGATACAAATATCTACTACTTTTTTGCTTACATTAAGAATCCCACTTCAAATCACTTCCAAACTATGGAATTAAGAGCAAGTCAAAAATCTCGTTTGTCCCATTTTTCACATTCAATATCTCAACTAGGAAAGACCAATCAGGCTTAAAGGCAGTGTCCGGGCAAAAACTCGATTTTGAGATTTTGTGCTTACCTGAGCCTATTCGTTACGCTGAATCCGAAAATGCACATTGGAGAGCGTGGAAACGGCCAGAAATGGCTATAACACAGAAAAGAAATCAGCAGGTGGGCGGGGTCCTCCCCACTGTGAATTCACGCTCCCAGCTTCCGGAGCAGTCTTCTCGATACCGCTACTTAGATACTTAGATGGCCCGTTAATCGTTAGTCGAAGCAGGATTCAGTATAGGAGAATAACAGTGGCGGACCGAGGGGGGGGAGGGGGTGCCCCCCCCCCCGAGAATGGGTCGCGAAATTTTTGAAACTTGCCTATATGGGCTATAAAAATGGCAAACGACTTGTTTATTTTTGTAAATAATTGAAATAATTTTTAAAAAATTCTCAAAAATTCAAATTAGCCTTATAAAAAAATTTTCGGGGGTGCCAGGGGTTAAGGACCCGCAAAAATTTTGAGAAGCACCCCAAAAATTTTTTCGGAGTGCGTGGCAGACGCCACGCAGCTTCACTTGAAAAATTTTTGTCGCCCCCCCCCCCCGGTCCGAAATTCTGGGACCGCCACTGGAGAATAGGGAATAGTACTTCGTATTGAGTACGAAAAGAGGCAGCTAATTCATTTTTGTGATATAGTTAATCATGTTTGCAAAAAGACCTCTTTAACTGGGTGGCCTAATATTGAGAATCCTCAAAATTCGCTAAAATGTGGCGCACGGGGGTTACCTGACATGATAATTACGGATGTGTTACCAATTTTGCTTGGTCAAGCCTTTTTGCCATGCCTACGGTAGTCCAACGATAACGCTGGAGCAAGGTGTTGAGTCAGAACTTAGGGGGAAGGGTCGTATCTGGCGGCTGTGCGCCACACCCCTTGCTCGACCCTGGTGATCAATCAGGTCACCTTTTCATTAAATGAGAAAGCAAATGTTCTAGCTAGCCGTCTCGAAAGCGTATTCGCTTTTACCGATTAGACTACTGACGACGAGCAAACTCTTACGTCCACTCTCTTCGCCCCTAGCTATCTGGAAGATGTGTGCTTCAACTCCTTTGATATCCTCAAGATAGATCCGATCAAGACAGCCAATTGTATATGACAGTATTCCGCAGATATATTCAAAAATGTGCACCAGCTCCTCTGCATTCCCCTGGCACACATTTTCCATGGATCGTTGATGCTAGGAAAGGCGCCGCAAACTTGGTAAGAAACAGCAATTCCTAAGTTTTATGAGGCTCATTGTGTCCAAACCTTCGTCCCACAATTTTCACTCCTACTACATCAAAGGTATTGGAGAAAATACTTAGAAAAATTACTTTCTTTTCATAAAAATGTCATCTCTTCAATTTAGCATGGGTTTATGGCGGGCTTCTCCTACGCTACTGAATCTGCTGTTAAATTCTAATTCGAGTTCAGCTTTTGAAAGAGAAATGTTTGTGGACTTTGTTCACGAAGATCTCTCAAAAGCTTTTGACATAGTCGATCACAGTAAACTCGTATACAAGCGTTTGAGCTGACTTATCTAATTGAGCAACATGACAGTCAGAGTAAGACATCAGTTTTCAACCGGACATGTCTGTCAGTGGCGTTCCTCAAAGGCAAGTGCTTTTTCCATTACTTTTTGCGTTGTACACCGCCGAGCCCTGTCTACCTTGAAGACATATGCACATCTAACGATCAAGATGTATGCAGACAATGTCAAGATAGACGGGATGTATAACAAAGATAAGACACGAAGCTCAGTCTGCAAACGTTAGAGTCGATGGCATACTGGGAAGACACGAAGCTCAGTCTGCAAACGTTAGAGTCGATGGCATACTGGGCTTCTAGCTTTAGTATTCCATTACATTCGGATAAATGCTTTGTTGTTTAATTTGGTGACGAGGAACAACTGATTTGTGAGACCAACGGACCAAAGATTTCAGGGCTTTAGTTGACTCTGAGATAGAGGTTTTTAAACCATATTGGCTACTAGCTGGCAAACCCGGCTCCGCCCGGCCCTATCATTAATATATTCGTAATCAGCATGCTCACTTACCCCCCGTGCCAACTCCCAGCCCCGTGAACTTTTTGAAAAATCAATAAAATCGATATCGATCAATGACGAAAAGTAGCCTATGACACCCGCCCGGCCCCGAAGTGTATGTGTGCAATGTTTGGTCCGGATCGGTTCAGAAATGGAATTTTCTATTCGGAACATACAACACGCAGATAGACAGACAGACAAACAGACATTCAGCTTTATATATAAGATACCGTAAAGAAGGCTCATTCAGTATTATCTGTTATATTTCGGTCTGTTCATACAGATAGCCTAGCGATTCTGAAGCGGCTCTATAAGCGTATGTGTCACAATACTTTGAATAATGGTCAGTAAATTGTAATCTTTTTTTCAAAGAATATATCTAAACTAGAAAATGTTTAGCAGCATTGACCCATACTCTTTTCCGAAAACGTCGTAGAGGTTCGCTTTTACTGAAAGGCAGTGTCCGGCCAAAAACTCGATTTTCGAAAATCCGCTCATCGGGGGTTATCCGCAAAGCTGAATCCGAAAATCCATATTAGAAGGCGCGAAAAAGGCGACATGCGTTTGACAGAGCCCTACAGTTTGAAATTCGACGATCCCCGTCAAGCTGAGACGCAGAGTCGCTGCGGGACCTTACGATTTTGTGTGGCGGCGTGCGTACTCTGCCGCCTAGCAGAAGTTCAAACAGGTCGGAGAACCCGCCTCAAGGCGTAAGTTTCCCATTTCCCAATCGTTTTTCTTGCTTTAGTTCGAACTTTATAACTCCATACCTGAGCGATGCTGTGTCTGAAAGGGGCCATTTTCGCATGGCACCAAAATCCAGAAACCTCCACCTTGTCCGGACACAGCCTTAGTGCCAGTACATGAAAATCGTCTCAGTTTTTTGGCTATGAAAAGCTTGGAATACAAAAGAATATATCTTGGTCTCATTCCTGCCTTCCTTATACGTAACTTAGACTAACTGCAAGAAAACACTGAATTTTTCGACATGCTCGCAGGATGGATGGGTTCGACATTCACTATCCTCGAAAAAACGCTTTCTTGTGATGTTCAACAGCCTCGAATTATCCAGATGTTCTTGCTTTTTCTTCAGACTGCCGTTTTTTCCTATCCGTTAGTTGCACTAGCCCTTTACGATGTGATAGTTGATACTGATATCTACTAACGTTTTTCTTTGATGTTTTTCTTATACATTACTACCAACTTTCGATGGTGTTTTCTTTACGACCTGCCACGCTTCCTGCTCTTCATGAGTTGCTTTCCTATATCATGAACTAACTGTTATATTGGTGGGTACCTAACGTGGACCAGGCTAGTCTTAGAGGCCAAGATTTCACTCTTACATTACTCTTGTTAGACAGTAGCATTCCCCAGTGCTAATCATTTGCATGTTCTCGAGCCGTTGAAGTCGGCTTCTGTCACCAAAGCTGCTTTTCATGCGGCTTCTTGCGTTTGAGTTATTTAGGGAGTGATTTATGATAGTGTATTCCAAGTAATTGACGACCAGGGTCGAGCAAGAGGTGTGGCACACAACCGCCGACGACCCCTCCCTCCCCCCTCCATCAAGTTGGGACCACTGCTAAACCTTCTTTTCTATACAATAGGAGTTCAATTTAAACTCGTCTCTAATGAAAAGATATAGTCGTTTTTCCTTACCTATGCAAATGGAAAATACTGTGAAAATAAAGGGTTGTAGTAATATATTCGATAGCTTAAAGGCAGTGTCCGGGCAAAAACTCGATTTTGAGATTTTGTGCTTATCTGGGCCTATTCGCCACGCTGAATCCGAAAATCCACATTGGAACGCGCGAAAATGGCGAAAAAGGGCCCTAACGCTGGACGGAAATCAGCAAGTGGGCGGGGTCTTCCCCAATGTGGATTCACGCTCCAAGCTTCCGGAGCGATCTTCTCGATTCCAATTTCAAGTCATGCATTTGCACCTGGCCTGAGGAGATCTCAGGTCGGTAGCGGAGTTGAGAAAATCGCTTCAGAAGATGGGACCGCAAAATTCACAGTGGGGAAGACCCCGCCCACTTCTAATTTCCCTCCTGCGTTAGAGCCCTTCTTTGCCGTTTTCGCGCTTTCCAATGTGGATTTTCGAAGTCAGCATGGCGAATAGGCCCAGGTAAGCACAAAACCTCAAAATCGACTTTTTGCCCGGACACTGCCTTTAAACCTCATGATGTTCATAAAAGTGATTTGAGCTTGATTGGTCCTCTCTAGTCTGGGATGAAGAAGTTGGAAGTGAAAGACGAGACAAAAGAAATTCTGGTTTGCTCTTAATTCAATAATTTGAGGTTTCTTAAAGTGGGATTCCTAATGTGGGCAAAGAAATATTAGTTACTTGTATAAAAGGCAGCGTCCAGGCAAATCTGGACCTATGGGGATTTTACGTGAAAAGCAATTTTAGGGCCCTAACTAAGGCACTGCTCAGGCAGCTCAGGTAGTGCTCTAAGGCTGAGATATTTCCCTCGAAACTGAACGCTTGATCCTGTTGATGACCTCTTCTCATCCTGTTTATTTTTAGCGCACTTAGAGACATATTCAATAAATATATAGATAAATAAATTACCGCTGTTGAAAAGATACAGAACGACTCCGATGAACACAAATGCTATATGTTGAACCTGCGCGGATTTATTGTATAGAAAACTTCGGTGGATTGCAGCCAGCGGATATCCTGAAAAAGAGCAATGTTTCGGTTAAAGGAAGGATCATTAGACGCGACGTCAACTGAGTTAGGCATTCTAACCATAATGTGGCTATATCTGCTTCAGTGTGGACAAAGTCTGAATTCAACATCAGCATTCGATTCACCTCGAAGAGGTGCATCTTCTTATGTATAGAGCTGCTTGTTTGGTCAAGGCAATCGCGAAGTAGACAACCAGATTTCGCAACTCCCAGTTGATTACGCTAAGCTACTCAGGGTGCTGAATTAATGCGCACTGATTAATCTACCGTAGTCGGAAGTTGTATTCATTTGTAAAGTTTGACTGCCTACGCTTAAAGAACACACCCCGTATCCAAACAGGTACCTTGTTATATTAGAAGATGCGTCACGTCGAGCTTAAAGGCAGCGTCCCACCAGACTGGGGGTACCTGGCTCTCGTAATGATGTAATAGTAGACCCCCTACCTAAGCGATGACTGAAGTTCGGAGCAAAAAAGGAAGTCTACCAAGCCTGAAATTTGCTCCGAAAGTAGGCCGAATCTTACGGTAGGCTCCGGCGAGTGCGAGGTGCAAGCAAGGTAGAGACGCAGAGATGTTGCGGGTCCCTGCGCTCATGATGTGTGCGCTATACGCACTCTGGCCCTGCAAATCGATATTGCCGTGTGGGCGGCGTTCGGCCCTACCGTAAGATTCGGCCCACTTTCGGAGCAAATTTCAGGCTTGGTAGAACTCTTTTTTCGCTCCGAACTTCAGTCATCGCTTAGGTAGGGGGTCTACTATCACATAATTACGAGAGCCAGATACCCCCAGTCTGGTGGGACACTGCCTTTAATCCAATTGTGCCGTTAGGCTCCCGCCAGAGTGCCGAAGTTATGCCAGCGCTACGCCAGCATTTCGATCGATACACGTGTATTTCGTTGGGGACGTCAGCTAGCCCCGCCCCAACGAAATACACGTGTATCGATCGAAATGCTGGCGTAGCGCTGGCATAACTTCGGCACTCTGGCGGGAGCCTTAAATTCACTTCGTTCGCACTCGAGCAAGATATGGCCACACTACGGGGATGTCAATAACTCAGGTAACTGTCGCGTCTTTTTTTTTGCAAAAATTATGGGCGGTATTGTATGATCGTCTCCACGATTCGTGTAGGAAAAGGTGATTGCAAACTTTCTCTGATTTTAAGGGTGAATGTTAAACCTCCACGGCATAGCATTGTTTTTCGTTACTCTCTCTCGCTATCATGAACCACCGCGCATTGTACCGGCAAAACCCTGCCTCTACAGTCAGTCGATGATACATTGTTCTTAGGGCACAACGCGTAACCTCTACTAAGTCTCATAACAACCACCTTCTCAATCTTCTTCAGAAATGATGATTACACCATTTAACAATTGCCAAATTTATGAAAGGTCAAAGGCAGTGTCTCGGCAGAATTTCGTTTCCCAAATTTTCACATTTTCGGAGCCTTCTCGCTACTCAGATAATCGCCGGGGGCAGGCGGTCCGCAAACTCGCGCTTTCTTGCAGGTGATCAGCAGAATTTTGGGGCGTAGTCAAACCTTCAGCAAGCGGTACTTCCTTTACTGTCGCATGTTCTGCCGGTGGCCAGCAATATAGAATTTTCTGTGAGCGGTCGTCAAATTACTTTCACCGAGCGCTGGCCAAATCAGCGAGCGCTCTGACGCTCGTTACGCACTTTCGGGCGTATGTCGAGCAAAGGTAACACTCCACATGGCAAAGGTGTCATCGGTGGTTCAATACCCAAGTTTGGGGTACTTTCTTCTAGCGGAGGGTACCTACGGGCTGTGCGGTCTTCCACAAAGGACCGTGCGGCCCCCAACAACCTTGCATGTTCCCGCGGGAAGTCCGCGAGAATGCGGCCACTGCGCTGCAACTAATCCATTAAAAAGCCGAAATTGTTCTCCGAGCATACGTCCAAAATTTCGCCAACATTTTTCCAAATATCTGCAATGGCCGCAAGAAATCAGCGAACTAATTTTTCCGTGCCCGCTTGCCTATATATCGCATGGCCGGCTGCCCCCGGCGATTGAGCATGAGGAATTCATATATGGGCTTTTCACCACATTAAAATGGCGAAAACGAGCTTTTTCCGGAGCTTATCATTCTGCATTCAGTGAAGATAGCCGGAAGTCTTTCGCGCCCCGCCTCCCTCGTTGAGTCCCCCAGATACACTGCCCTCAACTGATTGCGGACCTGGAAAGCTTTGGAAAAAGCTTATTCCTCGCCATTTTCATGCGCTAAAAAGCCCAGATACAAATATCTCATGGCGAAGAGGCTCCGAAAAGGTAAAAACTGGAAGACGAAATTCTGCCGAGATACTGCCTTTAAAGGCGACGGCCTTGCAATGACAACTTTGAGATAGTTATCGTTTATTGTTCCCTTGAGCTAAGTCCAGAACTGTGCTTTGCAGCTTCGAAAGATATCAATAACCCGCTTTTCCAGACGTGATAAATGTGTTGCCACGATCACAGCTATAGGGAATTTATCGCACGCAAAGAGAGGACGCCATTGCAGACTCTGTTGGCGTCTTTTGAATCAAATCGAATGATCAAACGTAAGGGCACTTGTTACGAAGTGCTTATAAATCCCCCTGTGTTACATGCAGAGTAACTAACCAGCAAGAACGCAAAGGAGCAATCGAAGACCATCTTGTCTGACGTTGATCAGATCCGCTATGGCACCAACAATCATCGATAGCAAAAATGATTGTAGCACAAGCGGTTTCTCTGCAAAGGAAGAGTTACGACGAATTTAGAAGCAAACACGGACATAAATGTAAAGTTCGCAGCATATTTGCCATCTGTGTGAAATCCTCACAACTTGTTGGCCTTTGGTGCTATAAAGAAGCCTTTATACCCCGCCGGATGCCGCTATTGCAACCGAAGCGCACTGGGTCAGATTCTGTTCGTGGGGCGCGTAGTTTGGACTTAGTCGCACCAATAAGATATCTACAGAGTTTTGATTCTTGTCGCTACTCTTGGAAGGTTTTCTTTTAGGTTGTATAAACAATTCTTTTGCAGATGGGGATGTAAACTTGCTATCGTTTTTTCGCTGTTTGACGATGCTGGAGTAATGATTCATTGCTGGAGGAAGCTTGCATTTCTTCTAGCCTCTGCTGCAAAGGTATTGGTGCATGCAAAAAATATGAGCGAAACAGTTCTAAACAGGGTTTTCCCATCTCGCTTCTATTTCAAGGCTATTCTTTCATGTTAACTAGAAATTTTGTTTGAGACGAAGCTTTTTATTTTTAGTTTTGAAAACATGCTGCAGTGGCAATCCCAGGGGTTCCGTTCGGCGTGAGAGGGAGGGGGGGTGGGGGGAGAGGAAGATTTTTTGCAAATGAAGGGCTGGCGTTAGCCACGCATTCTGAAAATTTTGGGGTGCTTTTCTGGGCTGCTCAATCGTGCGCTTTGCTTCTTTTGCGAGCCCATATCCCCTAAACAAGTAATTTCTTGTGATTGATTGAAATATTAGGTTGTCTCGAAAGTTTTGTCCGTTTTTTCATCGCTCACAAGAACTCACAGAATACCAATCCATGCACGACTGAGGTAATTTGATGCAGATTTTTATCCTCCTTCTTTACAGCTATATTTGCTCTCTGATCTACCCTCTCTTCGCAATGTTATCGCCATGGGTTTTTGAGCAGCTCAGCTCAGTAACGCCAAAATTGTTCTAAATTTGAAAAATTTTGTCTTATGTTTCTGAAGAACGCTGGTAATTATTACGTAGAACAAGCCTTTGGCTACACTATACACATTTCAAATTACACGAGCCATGTTAACCAAATCTGTTATAATTATTTATTCAGTAAACACCCGGCTTTTTGATTACGTTCATCACGTAAAAGTACCGAAAATTCCAAAATGCTGCTTTTTTGAAGCAAATCAAACTTAATTATGTTGCTTAAATGAAATAAGAATTATGTTTCAATTCGCAGAAACTGAAAAAGCTCGTACATTTGCTGCAGTTGCGTGCTTCATGACTTTGCCAAAAATCAAGACCTTCGAAGAAATAATTTCTTGAAGCTAAAACAGCACAAAAAAAATCAAAATATCACTTTGTAGTCCGAGGATTGTTTTATTTGATCCATACTTAAACCTCTCCAGAACTTTGGAATGAAATTTTTCAAAATTAACCTAACTTTAGGCAAATAAAACTGACGAATGGAGAATTGTGGCGTGGTTTCATAGTGGTTTGAAAAAACGGACAGAACTTCCGGGACAACCTAATAATTCAAAAAATTTTAAAAAGTCAAATTGGCTTTTCAAAAAATTTTGAAAATTAACTTAACTATCAACAACAGTAAGCAAGTTGTACATTTGTATAACTCATGTAAGTAAATTTCAGAAATTTCGCAACCCATTTCGCGACCGACTCGGGGTGCCCCCCCCCCCCGCCTCTTCCCTGTGTCCGCCACCGCTACGCTGTTATCTAGATTTCATGTTGATAATATAGCTATGCTGGGTGAGCGATATGATTGTGAAGCAAGTCTTTTTGTTGTTATTTTTTCGTCTTGGGGATGGTCTGCTCTGCTGGATAAAGGATGTCAACATGGAACGATGTTTTTTTCTTGGTTTTTGAAGATGTTCCGTTATCCTGTAGGAACGATTTTGATGTATTACTTTTGCTTCCGGTTCTACTTCACTATGCGAGTGAATCATTTCTTCCAAAGGGGAATCATTTCAATGCCTTCTCTCTCTTGAGGCATCATTGTTCACTCAGCGTAATAGAAAGCCACAAAGCGAAACTAAGTGTCAAAATCTCTTTCTGCAAAGATATCGTTCACTTCATCGCCGTTAAATAGCTTGAAAATTAAGAAGTTGAACTGGACTACGATTTGCAAAAGTATCTTTCATATAGCATAGCAGATCGTGTCTAGATGGAAAAAGTAGAAATATCTTTTCGCAGAATTGCTCACTGAGCATAGAAGACTCTTAGAACAAAAGGACATTGGAAAGCGCTTCGCAACCATATCTTGTTATTCACCCAGCATCGAACATCGTATACTAGAACTGAAAAAACCTATTCATGCGTCCTGCGACTATCCTAATAGCCTATTGCAGGGCTCAGCACAGCTGGCACCGGGTCAAGCTGGATATCGTTTTTAGGGCGGAAAGCAAAGGGGATATCGTTTTTACAGGGGCCGAGGCGGAGAACTGCCGCAAAAATGCCGCCGGCATGCCACCGGCATGCCATTGGCAAGCTGTCCATCAGCAAACAAAGGCGTTGTTTTCAGCCAAAACGCAATAGTATGACACCAAATTTGGTGTGTGTATGCGCGTTGGTGGACCGGAACTACGGGCCAAAAATTTATGAAAACTTATGTGAATGAAAGCTGTGCCGAACTTTTTTCTGAATTAGCTGGCACCGTGCCAGCTGGGTGCCAGCTGAGCTGGCACCGACACTTTGCTCACATAAGTTTTCCTACTTTTTTACATAAAATGTATCTACACTGTAAAAGATTACATACGGAGAAAAAACAGTTTCATAATGTTCTCTTTTCAGCGTTTTATAGCAATTTGAAAACCACTCGGTCCGCTCCGCAGTCGAAAAATCGGCTTTTTCTGCTTCTCAAAATATGATTCGACCACTTAAAAAGCTCAAAAAGCTGTGAAAAGTTCTTTCATGAAATCAGAAATGCATGAAAACACTACTACATTTTTTACATAATATAAAATTGATGACGGGTTTTTAAAACAGGTCAAAAGGAACTTCGTACGAAATTTTCAATATCAAACGGGACTTCGTTTTGAAAATTCCCTGGTGCCAGCTCGTGCCGAGCTCTGGCCTATTGCTTCGGCTGCAAAAGCGGCAACCGGCGTGAAAGGGCGCAATCTGAAGGGCTAAGAAGGGACGATTGTTGGAGGGATTTTTTTGCTAGTTATTTGACCCTCTTAAAGTCTTTTCCAATTCCAATCAGGCCAAAATTGGCACGGTGGGAAACCGCATTGCAAGAGTTCACGCCTCGGCTTGTTTGCTTGTTCCCTCTATAATTTCGCTCTCTCTAACAGTGCGCATATGCAACGCAAACCCCTAATGCTGGGAGAGCACAATTTACGCCAACGGTTACTGATCCCATTGTGACAGACTGTACAACTCAAGAATAATATTTGTTTTTTTTTTATGGGAAATAGGGTTTGTTGTACTTGACACCAGTCCGCATACGCTTCACATCAAGTTTTATCTGTTATTCTACTTTCAGGTATTCAAGTCGCATCCCTATTGCTCTAAATACAAACACGCCATTGGAACTTGATACCATGAGGCACATTAGCCAAAGATTGTGCAAGAGGTAGATCGCTTCGCAAAGGCCAACGCTGCGATGCGCCTACTCAGACAGTCGATGGGATACCTCCGGAGCAGAAGTGGCAGGGTCGTGGGCTTTCCCCAGCGGAGGATTGCCACTTCGCGCGCCCTGCCATTTCACGCATTTTTGTGCTCCGGGGCTCTCCCAAAAGTGGCGCACCTCCGGAGCAGAGATTTGCGCGTCGCGGAGAGAGGTCCCATTCGTCCTATCTGTGACGTCACCGTGACGTCACGGTGAATGAATGGGACCTCTCCGCGACGCGCAAATCTCTGCTCCGGAGGTGCGCCACTTTTGGGAGAGCCCCGGAGCACAAAAATGCGTGAAATGGCAGGGCTTCGGAGCGCGAAGTGGCAGACTCGCGCCATATGCCCGCCGGAGGTATCCATTCGACTGTCTGAGTATATCTGCTCGCGTTCAAAGTAAGGCGGATATGGCTTATAAATCTAAAAGTATAGTTAGTTCATGTGCCGAGTTCAAATGGATGTAGAGTATAGGCTGCCTTAGAGACATTGTCGATAAAGGTCTTTCCGCCCTTTTTCGTAAAAGAAGATTTAGAGCGCGGGCTTCACAAAAACCTGATCCATATCCAGAAAAAGGCAAAAACATTCAAAAATCAATGTGAACAAATCCTCAGGACCTCAGACAAAGTTTGAAAGATTTTCACAAGACAGGTGATCAGCATTTAAAAGTAGTACACCACACGGACGATTATACGCAAAGACATAGGCCGATTATTGCAGAGAACTATATCAAAGAGAAACTGAAATGACTTGATAGTAACAAATCCTAATTCTTCACAAGATCTTGCATTGTGAACCTTCTGGGTTTCGTGGAAATGCGTTGAAGTCTCTCGAACTGATGACAATCAAGACATAAAGTACGACTTTTTCAACCATTTACGAGTATATCATTGAAGCGGTTTCCGTAGTTCAAGCCATATAACGGAAGTGCTCAAGGGTTAAGAGTAAATTAGTTTTGATAGTTGAAAAAGTCCAAATTGTATTTTAGCTTGCTCAAGTGATTCAGCCAACACCAAGATCATTAGAATTTATTCGGCTAACGTTTTTTGGTCTGGTTGCTTTCGTCAGGCCTATAAAGCGAGGAACATTGAGAATTAACCTTTCAAACATCTCATCACATGCAGGAAAAGTCTCAAAGTTGTAGGCAAGGCACATCAACAGATCGCCTGGCTATGATGATAGCAAGATAGCTCTGCCTCCCGTTTATTTCGAATGAGTTGAGTAAGGCCATTAGGGTGCGCGTGCGAATTCGGGACTGCAAGACTCACTCAGAGTCTTTAAGATGCCTTTTCCTAATCTTAAACAACGTCTAGTGCGCAAGAGAGCATATGAACAAGCTTGTGGCACCTCTGACTGCATGCGCAACAAATGGTAGGGCGTATGCGCTCAGTACGTTTAC